AAAGGCCCCGAGGGCAGAACTGAAAAATGCAGTATTTGAAAGTGGCGCCCGAATTGCAGCATGGCGCCAGTTGTCCAAAATCCTACGGTACCAAAGGAGGGGTTTGGAAAAAGGGTGCCAGGCCGAAAACGGGATGCAGCCGAAACAGCAAAAAGATAGACCAGGGATCGAGCACTGGCGAAGTCCGTAACAAAGCGAGTCTGATTTCAGGGAAATCCGCCTCAGCAAAAAGAGGCTCGGATGTACTGGTGGTTTAAGGTTTATGATATGAGTGCACGTTGACAAAGAAGGGTGAGAGGTTAGTCAACTGGTGGAGAAAGTGGTTATTGATATGGAGCTAGTCTTCAGAGTAGTCGAAGTAAGGGCCCCTGCATTGGCAGAGTGAAAAAGTGGACGAAACAACAGGGTGTCTCATCCTGCAGTGGACATATTATACAATTTAAGCACGCCGCCGCTCTGCTCTCGCGATGGACAGGACGCGAACGCACACTGGCGTTCATCCCTCTGCATGCTTATTTCCAGTCTGGAGCGTGTGCAGTGAGCCTGACAATCACAAGAAGCTTCCACAACACGACCATGCAAGTAGTCACAATGCACTCAAAATAGAACCGATTGAGATGGAGAATAAATCTGAATAGTTCATGAAGCACTCAAAGTGGTCCCAGAATAAGTAGTGAGTCACCAGAAGTGAGACAAAGGCAAAGAAGCAATGGAGAGAGAGGGAGGACAGTTTCGTTAATAACCAGTAATACAATTGAAACATCTCTTCCTGCCCTCTTCACGTCGGTGAGCTTCTCCTACCTGATGGCCAGTGACCACCTCAACGTGCAATCGCCCTCCCTGAAGACACTAATGAAGTCATTCTGCAGGTGCCAGACAGGTGTGCCTGCTTTCCTCCAGTCTTCTTGATGTGAACCGCAGCTCCAGTATCACCAGTGCCAAGTCGCCAACAGGTAAGTCCAGGGAAGCTTCCACACTCTCTCTGTTGCATACTGTAACGGTGCAGACCAGAACAAGAACCGACCTCTCAATACAAAGTACAAGATAGCGTAGAGGAAGACTTAGATACCAATGATCCGAACAATCAATCTTGCAATGCAGCCCCGAACATACATCATCATCATCATTCCATGGTGTGAAGGGGTCTGGCGCTCACACAGGAAGAACGCGCCAGCCCCAACCATACACAGACGAAGAGAGGGGGAGATGGGAATGTCGTCAACACCAAGTCTTCGGCACAGGCCCAAATAGTCCCTCGTCAAAATGTCTGAATCCCAATGTCGAGTCTGGATCCAATGTTGTCAGGTCTCAAGTCACAACTCTCTCTCTCTCTGTCGTAGTCTGCTGATACTGAGAAGTCAGGTGGTGAGAGGGTGAAGAAGAGATGGTGGACTTAGAAGAGGAAGAAGAAGAACTCTCTCTCTCTCTCTGTCCAGTACTAACCTGTGAAGATGGCGCCTTGATGCAGGTACCTCGAAGATGGAGCTGGAGCTATGGCGCCACAGGTAAGTACCGCTGGCCTCCGCCAGCCATCTCTCTCCAACGCTACTACTACCACCTACTAGCGCCCAGCGCTGAAGACTACTGCTATGGTTACTAGCGCCCAGCGCTGAAGACTACTGCTAGCGCTAAGCTACTCCCTGCAGCGCTCCTCCTGAGTGCTGCGGCCGAATCCTGAAGACTACTCGTGCCTACTGTCCAACTACCTACCCGTGAAGTGCATGGGAACTTCCTATGTACTACTCGGGTGCCTCCTGACTGCAGGGCGAGGCAGTCCACGAGGCTGCTCTTGCCAATGCCAAAGGGAGTCAGGGGCTGCCGCTGCAGCTCCTGCTTGAGGCTGTCGTGGGGAACAGGCCAGAAATAGCCTGTTCCCGAAACCCTGTTTTTGTGCCTGAGCATTAGGGTAGGTCGATCTTATGAGGGCCCGAAAGTGGCCCTCCGTTTCAGGCTGAAAAACCTCAGGGCTGAAAAGCCCTGTTTTAGGCTGAAACGACATAGGGCCTGCAGGCCCTCGTTTTTCAGTCTTTCAGGCTGAAACAACAGGGGCCTGTAAGCCCTTATTTCTAGGCTTTTAGGCTGGAAATGCGGGACGGGCCCTGTAGGCCCGTGTGGCTACGCAGTATGCCACACTCTCACTCTCTCTCCTCACAGTCCTGATCACCCTCTTCCTTTCACAACCTCTACTCTACAGCTATGGGGCACAGGTGCTCCTCGTAGCTATGGCTACTCTGTTCTTCCTGGGATGATGCTACCTTCTTTCTCCTGGCGCCACCCTCTCTCCTCTACCTCACTCAGCAGTGCTCTGGCCACCAACGCATGAGCCACTGGGGCGGGATGCCCTTTTGTGGCATTGACCAGCCTTGGCTTGGTGCAGCTTGCCTCATCGAACAGTGGAGATTTCTCGGTCTAGGCAGCCCAGATTTGCTGTCGGCCAATGTGTGCCTGGACCCAGTAGGTAGTGGAAACGTCTGGAGCAGTACAGACAGCCTTTGATTGTGCATCAGATCTTTGGCCGTGGTTGGCTCCTGGGAGATCTCTGACCCTTGACCTACTTCTCCTGAGTTTGGGCTTGACTCCTGATTTTCCTGAAGCCTCAATGGACCCTGAACCCAGTACCTATTGACCCTAGGACTTTTCTCAGTCCCCTCTAAGACAAGAGACATGAGTTTTGACCCCTGTATCTGGAGTTGGGCCGAAAGTTACGACCCTGGCCTATGTCTGTGTGGTTAACTGGACTATGCCTGTGTGGTTAACTGGCCTATGCCTGTGTGGTTTTTGAACCGAGTTCATTGCAGAGAGCTCTAAATGCGAAGTTGAAAAATAAAAGCCACATGATGAAGATGGATACCAGAGAGCTAACCCCAATCCCCTGCCTTCTTGTCCTGTTTGCTCTATGATCAGGAGGATTGCTATGGCTATAAGCTCCCAACATATGTGCAGATGTTAGATCTGAACAGCGCTGAGCAGAATGAATATCGGGAGATCATGGCCCGGGTTGCTGATGGGGAAGAGGGGGTATCAACAGAGTCAAGCATGGTGGAAGAAAAATCAAGCGATGATGCAAATGGTGAGGTCGGAAAGAAAGAAGTTGCCTCAACACGTGCAAGACTGAATAATAAGGTGTGTATTCCAGGGATTTCTGCGACTAATGAGGCTCGTGCATCAAACCTTTCTCCGTAACTGCCAGCATTACCCATCCAGCTCTTTCCAGCCTACCTGCATCATCTTTGATGAGGGGCGCTATTCAGGGATGATGATGCGAGAGATACGGAACCTTAAAATACTCCAGCATAATCACACCCATCTTCCCAAATGGGGGAAACTCTGAGGTCATGAGGCGATCATGTGATACCAGGAGGTGTACCGTGTAAAGCACCCTAGCTAGCCCTCACCCACAACCATGTGCCTGAAAATGACAGCCCATACAACCACAGTGTGCACTCCCTCATCCCAGACACATGCTGCACATTACGAGGGCTTGAAAAGCACGTGATATTAAACCGCCACAACCTTTCTCAGGCAAAGTCAAGTATCAAAACTGCGACATTCCGAAGGCTTTGTATGAACAGTGTTACCGGACCAGAATGGGTGGCACCATCAGCCAAAAGAGGAACACGCCGCCATAGCGGTTCATTTTTTTTTGCGTGCAGGGGGAATTTGCCTCAGCAGAACAAGGCTATGAGGTTGCGATGGTTTAAGGCCATGACCTGATTGTGCAGCACCAGGAGCTTCAGGTCACAAAGCATCTTGCTCTTCCCTTCATATGTGCTCTGGAAAATGCAGCCCATGGGAATATAGCCCACAGCACAGGCCTTCTGATTCTTCACACTGGGTGTCAGACCAAGGCTCACAGTCTAAAATATATATAGATGACATAGACAACATTGCACTTTATCAGATCCACGTTCTGAAACAAGTGTCTCTGTATGGATGGACGCCAAACAGTCTATAGACTCTATAGTGAGGCATTCTGAGTCCACACGGGCCCTACAGGCCCGACTAGATAGGCTAGGGGACGGATAGGGACCACTTTTAGGACCGGTTAGGCCCTGTGTCGTTTCGGCGCAGTCTGGGCCCCATAGGTCGGTAGGCCCAGACAGGACGACAGGCCCTGGTGCACGTTTTGGTGCCAGACCCTGGAGGCCGACCGTTTTGTGAGCCACTGGCCGTTGAAGCCCAGCCTCAGTGTTACATGCCCAGTTGGGCAATGTATGTAAAGCCAAGGATCCGCAATGTGATAAAAAGGACTGAATGGACAATGTGATGTTAGTGGAATCTCAACGAGCAATGTACATCCTGATACATACAAAAAGGCACTTTGTAGCGCAGTGGAAGACTTAGATATAAGCCCTGACCTGACCGGGACTTACCTCTCTCACGTAGTACAAGACAGCGCAGCGGAATGCTAGAATACCAATGACTATTCCAATCAATGTCGCAATGCAGACCAAACATACATCATCCTCATCACAAGGTGTGAAGGGGCCTGGCTCTACACACAGGAAGAATGTGCCAGGTCCAGACCATAGACAGACGAAGAGGAGGGGATCAGACGAAGAAGAGGGGGAAGATGGGAATGTCGCCAACACCAAGTCTTCGGTACAAGTCCCAGATAATCCCTCGTCAAATGTCTGAAGCCCAATGTCGAGTCTGGATCCAAATGTCACCAATCCCGCTCTCTCTCGTAGTCTGCTGATGCAG